TCGGGTAGTGCAGCTCATCCAGGATGGCACATCAATGCGAGCTGTGGCAAGAAGGTTTGCTGTGTCTGTCAGCGTAGTGTCCAGAGCATGGAGGCGCTCCCAGGAGATAGGCCAGTACATCAGGAAACGTGGAGGAGGCCATAGGAGGGCAATAACCCAGCAGCATGATCGCTACCTCCGCCTTTGTGCAAGGAGGAACAGGAAGAGCACTGCCAGAGCCCTGCAAAATGACCTCCAGCAGGCCACAAATGTTCATGTGTCTGGCCAAACGGTCAGAAACAGACTCCATGAGGGTGGTATGAGGGCCCGACATCCACAGGTGGGGGTTGTGCTTACAGCCCAACACCGTGCAGGACGTTTGGCATATGCCTGAGAACACCAAGATTGGCAAATTCGCCACTGGCGCCCTGTGCTCTTCACAGATGAAAGCAGGTTCACACTGAGCACATGTGACAGACATGACAGAGTCTGGAGATGCCGTGGAGAACGTTCTGTTGCCTGCAACATCCTCCAGCATGACCGGTTTGGCAGTGGGTCAATAATTGTGTGGGGTGGCATTTCTTGGGTGTGCTCGCCAGAGGTAGCCTGACTGCCATTAGGTACCGAGATGAGATCTTCAGACCCCTTGTGCTGGTGCGGTTGGCCCTGGGTTCCTCCTAATGCAAGACAATGCTAGACCTCATGTGGCTGGAGTGTGTCAGCAGTTCCTGCAAGACAAAGGCATTGATGCTATGGACTGGCACGCCCGTTCCCCAGACCTGAATCCAATTGAGCACATCTGGGACATCATGTCTCGCTCCATCCACCAACGTCACATTGCACCACAGACTGTCCAGGAGTTAGCAGATGCTTTAGTCCAGGTCTGGGAGGAGATCCCTCAGGAGACCATCCGCCAATTCATCAGGAGCATGAACAGGCGTTGGAGGGAGGTCATACACGCACGTGGAGGCCACACACACTACTGAGCCTCATTTTGACTTGTTTTAAGGACATTACATCAAAGTTGGATCAGCCTGTAGTGTGTTTTTCCACTTTAATTTTGAGTGTGACTCCAAATCCAGACCTCCACGGGTTGAAAAATTTGATTTCCATTTTGTAATTTTTGTGTGATTTTGTTGTCAGCACATTCAAGAACAAAGTATTTCAGAAGAATATTTATTTTCATTCGATCTAGGATGTGTTATTTTTGTGTTCCCTTTATTTTTTTGAGCAGTGTATCAAAGTTAGGTATAGAGCAGAGCTTTTCAAACTTTTTATGCTGGTGACACTTTTCAGACATGCATCATTTCACGACACGGTTCTTAAACGCGTCACTTTAGTTGCCATCGCGTCAGCCGAAATCAGCGATGTCGACTCAATTTGCAGTATACATGTATGATCCTTCAACCATCTCTCTAACACTCTGGCCCCCTAATCATAATATAGTAATATAACATACCCAGCTCAAATTGGCTCTTGTCACTTTATTTAATGCTGGCTGGCTGCTAAAGTCGGCTGTGGTTGGCTTCTGGTTGGCAGGCAGGCTGTCTGTGGCGGCTGGCTGGCCGACCTCTTTCTTCCCACAGCCCTTTCTGTTCCTTTCTGTTTGTCTCCATATCCCCTGAGTCCCTCTGTGTGTCTCCTTTTTCCTTTCTCCTCTTCCTTTCTGTTTGTCTCCATGTCCCCCAGCCCCTCTGTGTGTCTCTTTGTCGTCCCATCCTCAGCCTTTCTGTGTGCCCTATGTTCCCCTCTCAGTCCCTCTTTGGGTCTCTTTGTGCCCCCTCAACCTCTGTGTGTTTCTTTGTGCCCCACAACCCCTCTGTGGATCTCTTTGTGCCCCCTCAGGCTCTCTGTGTGTTTCTTTGAGCCCCAACTCTTCTTGTGTGCTTAATTTTTTATTTTAGTTACCTAGTTACATAACTGATTAGAGACATGCTTCCATCAAGTACATCCTTTCTCACATTTGTTTTTCTTGTTGATACAAAAGAAGGCAAAACCCCCAGTTTGAAGCAATTCTAATTTTGCAACAAACTATGAAAAATTTCCTTCTTGAACCCAGAATGGCAGTTAGATCTCTCCTTGGATCAAGAAGCTATTCCCCTCTACTTCAAAATGATATCCCTGAATATTATGTTTTTGCAAGTATTCATCCAATTGCTGTTTAACCCAGTGTTTCCCAACCCAGTCCTCAAAGCACACCTACCAGTCCAGGATTTAGGGATTACCCAGTTGTGTCTAAGGTGTTTTTTTTCTTCTTTGTAAAAACACCTTAGACACAACTGGGTAATCCCTAAATCCTGGACTGGTAGGTGTGCCTTGAGGACTGGGTTGGGAAACACTGGTTTAACCGTCTGTATAGACTCTGATAAAACCACTTCTTCAGGCTTAGAATTCAACATCCTTATTGTTCTGTAAAAAACCTTTCCTTTGTCAGACAAAATCTCCTTTTTTTCCAGTCTAAATGCATGAACTTGTGTCTTATGTATAGTCCAGTTTGTATTGGTCCCGAATATATTTGTGTAATGCTATCATATCCTCTCTGAGGCACCATTTTTCCAAACTAAAGAGAGAGATTTAAATTTGTTAACCTTTCTTCATAACTAGAATGCTTAATTTCTTCTATTAATTTTGTACCCAGCCTCTGTACCATTTTGATTTCTTTCTTTATTTAACATAGTGGCTGAGACGTATTTAGAAATGATATCTTTTTTCTGCTCCAAAGACAGAACTCCAACTCACAAATCAAACAAAACTATTTGTCTTTTGTCTGTGTTGTTTATTTCGTGAATTGTCAATGGAGTTAAGGCTCCATATGATTGGTTAAAATTTAGCTGCAATTCTTTTGAAACCAAATGCACAAGTCCAAGAGCATGTTTCTATATCTGGGGTTGTATATGTAATGTATTTTAAGCAATTTAATACAGTCTTTCCCGATGTATGTAAATCAACAATTTTTTGGTTCTGAAATATCACATTTTCAGTTGTCCTTTCTTCGAGATATGTTTATTATTTCCACCTCATTATATTGTTTGTTGTTATTGTTGCTGTTAGTGTGTAATTACTAAAGCTTGAGTTTTCTAGATAAGAAATTCAAATTGAAATAAACAAAAGAACAAAAAGAAAAACTCTACCAAAAATGTGTTCTCTTAATGTGAGAGTTATAATAAAACCTAACTTTTAATAAATATCGTAAAAATGTGAAAAGGTGAATAAAACCAAAATGGAAAGTTCAGTCCTCCTTATTTGGACAAATCTTGGTGATATAGCAGGAATCTAACTCTAGAGTACTAGAAGTTTTAAAAATTAGAAAATTAGAAATTAATTATTAATTCAATATAGACCTAGTAATGGAGGTAATGGCTTTCTGGGTATAGAGGGAAGGGGAATAATGCCACAAAGCTATTTATCCTATTGCAGAGTATAATGTGCCTTTGAGGGCAACCCTTAAAAAAATAATTGACTCTGAAATCAGATGGATATAACTAGAGGGCTGAACATCCATGTAAAGTAAGGATGCTGCTACTCATAGTGTCAACTATCTATAATAACATGCAATGGAGAACGCTAAGAAAAGAGTGTAACGAGTGAGTGTCCTGAGCCCCTGATGCGCGTTTCGCCAGTGTGGCTCATCAGAGGGCCCCTTATTTATAAGATAGAGGCTCGATTTATCTTTGTTTCAATTAGCTTCTTGATAAGAGTACAAATTAAACAGCAAAAGAAAATATATCATATCCTTATAGATGAATAGTTTGTCTGCTTCATTGAGATCTAGGGTATATAAAAACATAAAAATTGGATTTGTCTGCCATCCACTTGATATCCATACCCCCAAATAAATAGTGCAAAAGCTTGTTCCCAATTTCTGGTTGCACCTGGGCCCCTCATTACATGACAAGCATAAATACATATATCTATACACTCAGGGTAAAGACAGTATATATACTGTATGTTTTGTGAAAAGTCTTCAATCCTAATTTCTTTGGCACCAAATTTTCTAGCCACTCATTATTTTACAAAAACTCATTACATGCAAATAGTTAAATGGGTGATATATTATCCATGTTATTACAATAAATTATAAAAAAAATTATCTTTTTTTTAATCCTAATTTGTTCCACCTTTTCTGCCACTAAATGCACTGTTTGACATTTCGCTACCGAAACTCCTGAATATGGCTAAAGTGTCTGACAGCTGGAGTTCAGGATGTAGCTTTGTTTTACCTGGAAAACTAATTCTCCCATAAACTCTTGTTGATACCATAAAGCATTGCTTATGGGAAGAGCTTGGCAAGGTTTTAGAAAGTTGACCATCATGTTGATGTTACTTTGACATATACCACCTACCTAGAGATTGTTGCAAACCACGTATACCTATTAATGTTATTGGTGTTCCATGATGGCAGAGGCTGCTTTCATCAGGATAATGCATCCAGCTACACTGAAAGAGTGTCCAGGAATGGTTTGAGGAACATGGCAAAGAGATCAAAGTGTTGCCTTGCCCTCCGAATTCCCCAGATCTAAATGCTATTGAGCAACAAATCCGGTCCATGGAGGCATGACTTTGCAATTTGCAGGACTTAAAGGATCTGCTGCTAATGTTTTGGTACCACAAGACACGTTTAGAGCTGTTTTGGCAGTACGAGGGAACCTACTTGATATTAGGCAGGTGGTTTTAATGTTGTGGCTGATCATACAGAATCCAGTGCACTAGCTTATTCCCTAAACAATGATTTAAAATCTTAGAGATTGTAATAGTTTTATTTAAAAACACCTCACCTAGACAAAAAATAATAGGGTTTAGTTACATTACATGATCATATATTGCATAAGCCTGCCACAATGTCAATGTACCCCATTCTTGGCCGGTCCTACTCTAGCAGCCTAATGCTTGCTCTTATGAGATTAATCCACTTACTTGGGAAATACTTCCTTACTGGGACACTCTGCAAGTCAAGTCTAAATAGGGCCCTGGAATGAGGCACCTGTGACAAGGAGGGGTGCAAAACCAAATATATAAAAGAAACCAAGAGGGCTGCACTCACCTGAACATGCATACATTTTTTTTTTTTTTTTTATTATAATTTTTTGCTAAGGGGAGGTGTTTTTAAATAAAACGATTACAATTTCTAAGATTTGAAATCATTGTTTAGTGAATAAGCAAGTGCGCAGGATTCTGTATTTTGTATATTTTGACCCCAGAAGCACCGTATAATGTATGTATGTTCAGGTGAGTGCAGCCCTTTTGATTTCTTATATATATATATATTAATAACAAAGTATTTAACCAGGAAAGGTACATTCAGATTACTCTGGTTTTCAAGCCCGTCCTGGGGATGTTACCTTAGCCCAACACCCAATTTAATGGTATGCATTTTATCTATCTCAGAAGGATGAAGGGCTGAGTCAACCCTGCCAGGATTTGAACCCAATGGTTAAACAAATTCTGCTGATGATGCATGAGCCCACTGAGCTATCTCACCGGCATTATATATAACAGAACCCTTATCAAAGGCTTTACTTTTTATTTTTCAGTTTTGATTACCAGTTCTGCAGGTTTCAATGTGATTTTTTAGTCTCAAAACTATTTATCTGAGGTCTGGGTCACAGATGCCACTTTCTATTAAAAAATTCAAATTAACTGCCTTGCTGATAATTAACTATTGTTCACGGAAAAGCAGATGGCTCTATTTTAAGAATGATTCCACACATCATTTATCCTCTTCCCTAGCCCCCCTTTTTTTGTTTCTCTCGACACCAATTGTTTTATTTTCTACATCATTTTCCATTCTTACTCTATGTGCCCTTCTTTGGGAATTACGATACTTCTAATATTTTTTACATTCACTCATTCCTATGTATATTTTCCAATTTAATTTTTTTAATAATTCAACATTAAGAAATGTTGAACTACTTGGTAATAAGTCAGACAACAATTCTTTTTTTTTTATTATAAATTTGCATTGAGCAGCTTAGAAAGAAATGTACAATGATATTAAACAACAAAAATAGCTGAGAAAGAGTTAAAGGCAATAAACAAAACTAATATGTCCTTAAGAGAATTGGGGCCTGTGACAAAAGCAATTTCGCCACTGGTTTTTGGAGAGGACTAATGGCCAGCCGTTTGCCCAAAGACTATGTGCCCTGCAAAAAGACATGCTAAAAAGTGACTTTCATGGGAAAATGTGCCTCTTCCCTCCCCGTTTTTCCTGTCCTATTGTTTCTCCATGCAGGGCGTTGTCCTGGGGACACTGCCAGACCAGTTTAACCTTACTGCCTTGTCCCTCCTCAATCTCCCATCAGCCCTTGCTATTGTTTAACCCCATGGCGATCCAACTGTATTCGTGAGATCTGAGCGCTTCTCGGACATATTGAGCGCTCAGATCCAAGCTATCTGGGGATATGTTGGACAAATAGATTAAACATTGTATTATAGGAGTTATGTATTTTTATGTGGTTTTTGTAACAGTTTTTGACTTAGAGAAATTTCTTGTACCTGGAGATAATTAAGTTAACACAGCCACTTAAGCCAATTATCTCCAGGATAGAGGAGAAGGTAGACCGGCCGCACAGCCTAAATCTGTGGAACTATTTTGGGCATGAAAGCTATGGTTGCGGTCGGTCAAAAGAGACTTCCAGAAATCTTTGGAACCTCTGCTCTGATGTGGGTGATTTTTGGATATGTTGTTTACCCAGATCCGGGTTATCCAGGGATGTATAATTTGGGGATACGTGATGTTTTGAGGTGTTTTCTGTGTTTTGTGAAAAATGTGTGTTTTCTGCCTGTGGGTAATTGAGTTAGTCCATTGTGTTTGTTAATTGTATCACAGGCAGAGGGGAGGGTTTGTGTACTTTATCTGGGACTGTCTATCTGTACAAATCTGTTTTGATTGGCTTTGTAATTTTGTGTCCTGTGCTCCACAAGGTCCACGTGGGTGGTAACCTTGTGGGAAAACCTGTATAAAAGAGTTAATGGATTGTAGGATAAAAATTACAAGGAAAGGTTAAAGGATCTTAACATGTATAGCTTGGAGCAGTGGCGGACATACCAGGGTCGCAGGGGTCGCGGCTGCGACCGGGCCCGGCCCAACAGGGGGCCCGGCCGCCCCTGCGACCCGGTATGTAGCCACAGGACCAGCCTCTTCCCCTGGGGGGCCCAGGAGCCGACCACCCCAGGGCCCCCCGAGGCTGGCCCTGCTGACACCAGGAAGACGGGTGGCCGGGCAGGCAGGCAGGCGGGCGCGCGAGGGAGCACTCAGTGCTTCCTCTTCAGCTCCCTCGCGCACCGCACTGATACCGGAGCCGGAAGATGACGTCATCTTACGGCTCCGGTATCAGTGTGGCGCGCGAGGGAGCTGAAGAGGAAGCAGTGAGTGCTCCCTCGCGCGCCCGCCTGCCTGCCCGACCGGCCACCCAGACTGCCCGCCCAGGAGCCCAGCAGCACCACTGGACCCCAGGGAATCCCCCCAGCACTCCAAAAGGTAAGGAGGCTGGGGGGATTAAATTTTAAAAAAAAAACAACATATGTTAATGTTAGAGTGAGTGTTAGTGTGTGTGTGAGTGTGTGAGTGTTAGTTAGTGTGAGTGTTAGTGTGTGTGTGTTAGAGTGAGTGTTAGTGTGTGAGTGTTAGTGTGTGTGTTAGTGTGAGTGTTAGTGTGTGTGTGTTAGAGTGAGTGTTAGTGTGTGAGTGTTAGTGTGTGAGTGTTAGTGTGTGAGTGTTAGTGTGTGATTGTTAGTGTGTGTGTTAGTGTGCGTGTTAGTGTGTGTGTTAGAGTGAGTGTTAGTGTGTGTGTTAGTGTGTGAGTGTTAGTGTGTGTGTTAGTGAGTGTTAGTGTGTGTGTTAGAGTGAGTGTTAGTGTGTGTGTCTGCTAGTGAGTGTTAGTGTGTGTGTCTGCTAGTGAGTGTGTTACTGTGTGTGTCTTACTGAGTGTGTGTGTTAGTGAGTCTGTTTGATGTCTGTTAGTGAGTGCGTGTTTGTCAATGAGAGTGTATGTTTTGTAAGTGAGTGTGTATGTATGTCTGTCACTGAGTGTGTCTGTCAGTAAATGTGTGTGTCTGTTAGCTAGTGCGTATGCGTTTGTAAGTGTGTGTGTGTGTGTTGTCAGCACTTACCTTTCTCCAGCGCCGGACTACCTTGGCGCTGGGGATCCCTCAGCCTCTCAGCTCCGAATGCGACCGCGCACGCATTCAAACCGCCCATAGGAAAGCATTACTCAATGCTTTCCTATGGACGTTCAGTGTGCTCCTCTAGTGGCTGCGTGAGACAGCCACTAGAGACTGGATTAACCCTCAGTGAAACATAGCAGTTTCTCTGAAACTGCTATGTTTTCAGCTGCAGGGTTAAAACTAGAGGGACCTGACACCCAGACAATTTCATTGAGCTAAAGTGATCTGAGTGTCTGTAGTGGTCCTTTAAGTGTGTGTGCATCTGCATGCACTGGCGTACATACCGCGGTCGCAGGGGTCGCAGCCCTGTAACCCCTGTGACCAGGTGCCCACCGCCATGTGTTGCGGCCCGGCCCGCGCGCGGGGGGGAGGGCCCACGGATCAATTTTCGCACCGGGGCCCCATGGGTCATGTGTACGCCACTGGCTTGGAGGAAAGACAAAACATGGTGGATATGATAGAAACATATAAATACATTAAGGGAATCAACACTAAAGGAGGAGACTATATTTAAAAGAAGAAAAACTATCACAACAAGAGGACATAGTCTGAAATTAGAGGGGCAAAGGTTTAAAAATAATATCAAGAAGTATTACTTTACTAAGAGGGTGTCACGACTCCTGGCTCCTCTGCCGGGGTGGCTGCACAAAAACTAAGCAGCCACGCCGACAGAGATATTTTTGACTTACCTTGGTCCCGGTGGCCAGTTGCCTTGTATCCCTCTGTTCCGGTCCCCAGCGGGTGCAACATTCTTAGGAACGCGGGCCGCTGCAGTTTGGATTTGTATAGGAATATTACTTTCACCCACATCAAAGATGGCGCCAACATGCATGCGATGTCACGTCATAGACGCACACGCACGTCTTGGGGTCAGAGGTCAGAGACAGCCTATTACAGCCTAAGGAGGGTTATTTAAACCCAAATTACCTTTTTTGTCAGTGCCCTGTCATAGTTTCCACTACCTGGTTATCCAAGAGTGTATTCCTGATTGCGTTTTTCTGGTATTTGACTTTGGCTTCGTTCTGACTTCCCCGATTTTTGGTATCCTTAACTTCTGGCTTTCCTCATCGTTGTGTCTCATTCTGTAGTATTTTGACTATTATCAGGTACGTTATGTCCGGCCATTCTAAGGTCCAGTTAGACGTTATCCTTAGTCCTAGATGTGATACTATTCTGCGTGCTGGATCAACTATAATCCTGACATTACGACATGGTCCTAGATCCTGCAGATTTGTGTCAGCACATAATAGCTTGTGAGAGAAAGCTAGAGGAAAATGATCACCGTATACTCTCTTAATATGTACGGCTCATTTGCAGCCTGAAGTTCCTCCGACAAGTACACCCGCGACTACCCCCACCTACCGTACCTACACCTATAGTGTATATAATGCAATCGGCTACGCACGCCTATGCATACGCCCGGAAAACTTGCGCACCTAAGAACCATCAGGGGACCTGCCTTACGTGTGATGTATATATCCCATGGTACTACCCGCTGTCTCTAGGTCATTTTGATAGCCATCTCTAAGAAAGGACATCAGAGAGTATGTGGAGACATGTACTATTTGTGCAATTTCTAAGGTTCCCCATAAACTACCTAGTGGGCTGTTACAACCGCTTCTTTTATCCAGTATTCCATGGTCTCATTTGTCTATGGACTTTATTGTGGAACTACCGATTTCTAAAGGCTATAACACCATCCTAATGGTTGTTGACTGCTTTTATAAAATAGCACACTTTGTTCCGCTCAAAAAGATACCTTCTTCCCAAGAGCTGGCTCATTTATTTATATGCGAAATTGTCAGATTACATGGTATTCCACTTAATATTGTGTCAGACAAGGGTTCCTAATTTGTGTCAAGATTTTGGAGAGCATTTAACAAACAGTTGGGTATAGAATTATCATTTTTGTCACCATACCATCCTGAAACCAGTGGTGCGGCTGAGAGAGCCAACCAATCATTGGAACAATATTTGAGATGTTTTATTAATGTCACTCAGGAAAACGGGTCTGATTTGCTACCATGGGCCGAATTCGCCAGGAATAATGCAACCCATGACTCATCTGGACATAGTCCCTTTT